GAACCAACAAAATCTGTTAGCATTGCTAACAATATCAACAAGCAAAAGCACAAATCTTTTTGACACAATTCAGTCCATGTGTGTATTCTCATTCAATAGAATCACCAAGAAAAGAACTGTTGGTAGCTAGAAACACACGCACACACTCTTACGCACGTGCTAAGACAGAGCAGAAAAGAAAATAGAATAATACCAAGATAGAAGTTACCTATTCAGTGAACACACTCATGAAATCACTACAAGAAAATTCTTGTAATATTGGGATGCCTACTTTGGCATTATCCACAAAATTCATACTTGGCTCCTCCTTGACTGGGTTACCATTGTTCTCCACATAGATCTTTCCATGGTTCAAGTTACTCGCTTGTGATTCAAAATCATCCACTGCAAATTGACTTGGAATGCCAGTCTCTTTACCAACAAATCCAAGATTCCTAAGGGGTCCCTGGTCAAGCATTTCCCCTGATTTATCAACATATAAACCCTGGATGTTTGACATGTCATGCAAAACCCCAGGCAATTGTCTAGAATCACAAAATGGCACAGCTGAGTTCTGGTGGCTGGTGTTATTGTCAGCATTAACTGAGCAAGATGTGGAAGGAACAGAACCAGGGGCTGAGTACCCATCAAGAATGCTGGGAGTTTTAAGATTTCCAGTTGGTATATGTCCAATATTCAATGAGGAATTATTAGATTGAGCCGAGAGAATACTGTAATCAATAACAGTAGACCTGTTAAAACTGCAACTCTGATTGACAGAAGCAGGACTATTTCCAGCCTGGAAACTAGTTGATGACTGAGAGGGGACCACAAGGCAAGACGGCTGCACATTAATCAAACGGCTAGATTCAGTTAGCACAGATTGCTGCTGCGTTTTCTTATGTTGTCTTTGTTCCTGCTGCATAATGTCCATCAGCATGCTACTATTGTGAGTAGCCAACCCTCCGAGATTGTTACTCGGTGCCACGGTACTAAGACTATTAGACCGCCAAGATCCAAACCCTGAAGATACATCCTCAGCAGGTATGATGGATTGTGGAAAATGTTTGGAAACATTCGATTGGCATTTTATCAAAGGCTGCATAAATGGCACACCATGTTCAACAGGAGCACGCTTGGGTCCCTGTAGAGATGCATGTAGAATAGCAGGCTGATCCATTGCTGGCACAAGGTTCCCTGCAGGTTGACCTAAAAGCTCAGCTTGCAGGACGGCTAGTGTTTGCGGAGGAATTTGGCCAGAGGCAGCCAAAGCTTGGATGTCAAATCTACTAAGCGAACCCAGTTTCCCATTTGATTCCACAGGCCCACAAAAACCATTTGAAATCCCACTTTGTTGTTGCGCTAATCTCTTCAAATATAATCTGAATTTCTGCACGTTCACTTATTCATTTAAATTTTGGTAGGAAAACCAATAAAGCATTCGAGTAAATTCTGTGTGTATAAAAGAGCAAGTCTAAAGGTAAATGCAAGATAAAATAAAATTTCACATGGTTTTTTTTTTCTTTTCAGAAAGAGATGATCATCCCGCAAAGGAGATATGAAACAGAAAAGCTAGAATAAAACTCTCAAATATGAATTCACATCTTAGAATCAGAGTCAGAGTCAGATTCTTGTATGCAAAATTACTGATAGTCAGAGAATAAGAAA